ACATTCACGGGTGGGCCCAGACACATATTAAATTAGACGGGTGGGCCAAGGGTATTATAAAATATTGTATTATACGGGTGGGCCCAGACGCATATTAATTAGACCGGTGGGCCGAGGGTGTTGTATGGGATGTTGTATTAGACCGGTGGGCCGAGGGTGGTATACAATATAGATGGGTGGGCCCATGTGTATCATAATTGTAGACATGATGGAGCTGAGGTAGTTGTACATCAACCAAATCAGAGGAGGTAATAAATCAAAGTTACCAAGTTCCCGGAGCATCAGGTGATCTCCTGACATGGCAGTGCGAAGCTTGTGTTGCCCAACGAGACGCCAAGTTCCGGCCACCAGAATTTGAGTCAACTGTACCGAGTTCCGAGTTCCGGGACCCGGAACTCACCACATAAGTTGGTTAATACTTTTTGATGGTGCACAGGTTGTCTTACAGAATGTGGAATCCGGGGTGCGAAGCTTGTGTTGCCCTACGAGAAGCCAAGTTCCGACCACCAGAATTGGAGTCAACTGTACCGAGTTCCGAGTTCCGAGTTCCGGGACCCGGAACTCAACACATAATTTAGTTAATACTTTCCGTGTTAAATGGCCAACCGAAGTTCAGATGTTTCTAAAGAGAGCAGCAGGTGCTCTCTTGACATGGCCTCTGATGGTGCTTAGGTTGTCTTGCAGAATATGGAATCCGCGGTGCGAAGCTTGTGTTGCCCTACGAGAAGCCAAGTTCCGACCGCCAAAATGTGAGTCAACCGTACTCAGAGGAGGTAATAAATCAAAGTTACCGAGTTCCCGGAGCAGCAGGTGATCTCCTGACATGGCTGTGCGAAGCTTGTGTTGCCCTACGAGACTCCAAATTCCGACCACCCAAATATGGGTCAACTGTACCGACCTCCGAGTTCCGGGACCCGGGAGTCGACAAATGAATATCTGATGACCAGCAAGTCAACCTTACTCAGAGGAGGTAATAAATCACAGTTACCGAGTTCCAGGAGCAGCAGGTGATCTCCTGATATGGCAGTACGAAGCTTGTGTTGCCCTATGAGACGCCAAATTCCGACCACTCAAATATGGGTCAACCGTACCGACTTCCGAGTACCGGGACCCGGGAGTCGACAAATGAATATCTGATGACCAGCACACTTCCAATCAGGTAGTATTTCATTGAGCAATGGATAATAATACATCTTTGACAGCGGCCAAAATTATCCATCGCTCCCTTATCTGATCCTCTCTATCTCCACCCCCTATAACACCAAAGTCCGGACATCCAGCATTCAGCGTCTGATTTCCCAAGATTAACATCCAGCATGAACGGTTCTTCCCCTTCCCCTCCTGATAGCATAAACATCTGGCGCACTTGGGCCCTGACTGTGACTTATGAAGCAGGGGAATATACCGAACAGAAATTCAAGGCAGAGAAGACTGGAGGAGGCCCAGTCATACCTTCCCCCAACCTAGACACTGATCTGGTGATGGCGTGCGATCGCTTGGCTGATGTACTCATAAAGGCATCTAAAAATCCCAGTGGGTCTTCCTGCAGATTCGGAAAATTCTATTTATCATTCAAATTCCTGCATGACAGTTCAGATGCAGATGGATATTGCAAGATATAGCAAATTGATCTCCCCGAAGGACACCGGGCATAATGAACATAAAGAGGCGAGGTTGCTTGAGAGGTGTCCTCCTGGCCATGAAGGCAAAAGGTTGGTCGATGAACCTGCAATAATTCTTGATGCATCCAGTGCCATCATTGCATGGTATCTCCCAGATGCCCTGACAGACACCACCCAGGTGTGTAATATACATTGTTACTCGATGGATATCGAATATTAATGGAACCTACAGAAGGAAATCAGGGAGGCCACCTATTTGCTCTCTCCAAGCCTCGAAAAAAGTGTAAGGGCTGATGGCAATTGGCGAACTAATCAAAGGTTGTTCAACCGGGGCTCGGAAGATGTTGGAGCAACTCCCGGATGCATCAATCTATCTCCGGCATGGTTTCAACAGGGACACGAGGTAGGATCTGATGAGATGGTGATTCCGGCAGTCATACTTACCAATCCCAAAGAATGTGTCCGATCCGGAGGTATCTGCATCATTGAAGGGACCTTCCTGCGAGAATATCCTCAAAGCCATTGCAAGGCCAGCAGCCATCGCGTCCGCGGCACTCAGAGTCATGCATCCTGAGCAGTACTGGGCAGGGTTGAGAACCTTGTCAAACCTTGGAAATATAGCAGTAAGCAAGGATCTGCCACAGATGCCGGAGGCCCTGCAGTACTGGGCATCCGTGTTTAACACCCTCTCCATCATTTCCAATCGGGAAACCCCCCATCATCGAGACCACATGTCCATTGCTGAATGCTTCGACATTCTCACCACCGTGGGGGACTATTCTAATGCTCGGATGACAATGCCAAACCTTCAGCTGGAGTTCAAGTACAATTCCGGCTGTATGATTGCGTTTTCTGGAAAGATTGTGAGACATGGAGTGTATGATGTGGAAGGGGATCGGATTGCTTGGGCATGGTATATGAGGGATGCTGTTCATATTTATGCTGGTGTTCCATCATGTGGATGGGCTAGTGTGGATGGTCCATACAGCATGTGAAAGATCAAACAAAGAGCAAGCATTGTGACCTATATACATTCCAACAAATGAATACCATGTACCAATTGTGATCCGGACCTCAATACTCAATTTTGAGCATTTCCCAAGTGATATGTGGGACTAAATAATTTGGATGCAAGCCTCGGTATTCAATAATTGGAACTCGGGACTTGACATATGGGAGTCCTGAGTGCCGGGGTACTTAGTCCCGACACCCGGACCTCAGCAAGTGATATTTGAGACTGGGGGAAGATGTATAAATACGCTCGAATTAACATTTGTTATTGCCATACACATTTAACAAAACCCTGAACCCCGACATTGTGGACTCCGGACTCGACACTGTTCTGAATACCGAGTTCCGGACGCCCAGGTCCCGAGTCCTGAATTTCGGAGGTCGGGGCTCGGAGACCCGGAGCTCGGCAACTGTGTTGGGTGTCAGGGTATCCAGACCATTGGAGATAGCATGTGTCAGTATTTTGCGTTTCATGGTTTATGTTGGGTGAATATGGAATCGGGGATCAGGGACTCGGTATTCAGAACAGTGTCAAGTCCCAGGTCACGAGCTCCGAGTCCCGAGTACCGAACCCCGAGTCCCGAGTCCCGAATTTCGGAGGTCGGGGCTCGGAGACCCGGAGCTTGGCAACTGTGTTGGGTGTCAGGGTATCCAGACCATTGGAGATAGCATGTGTGAGTATTTTGCGTTTCATGGTTTATGTTGGGTGAATATGGAATTGGGGATCAGGGACTCGGTATTCAGAACAGTGTCAAGTCCCAGGTCACGACCTCCGAGTCCCGAGTGCCGAACCCCGAGTCCCTGAGTCCCGAATTTCGGAGGTCGGGGTTCGGCGACCCGGAGCTCGGCAACTGCTGGGTGTGGGTTTCGGGACTCGGGACTCAGAGCTCATGACCTGGGACTCAACACTGTTCTGAATACCGAGTCCCTGATCCCCAATTCCATATTCACCCAACATAAACCATGAAACGCAAAATACTCACACATGCTATCTCCAATGGTCTGGATACCCTGACACCCAACACAGTTGCTGAGCTCCGGGTCTCCGAGCCCCGACCTCCGAAATTCGGGACTCGGGACTCGGGGTTCGGTACTCGGGACTCGGAGCTCGTGACCTGGGACTTGACACTGTTCTGAATACCGAGTCCCTGATCCCCGATTCCATATTCACCCAACATAAACCATGAAACGCAAAATACTCACACATGCTATCTCCAATGGTCTGGATACCCTGACAGCCAACACAGTTGCCGAGCTCCGGGTCTCCGACCTCCGACCTCCGAAATTCGGGACTCGGGACCTGGGCGTCTGGGACTCAAATGTGAGATTTTTGAATGCATAGAATATGTTACATCTTGTATACAATGAAGAGTGAATGGGACTACACTCCTTTGCCTTTCCTCAATTTCTCTAACATGTCAGTGTACATCTTCACCTCTCCCATCTTAGCTTCGATGCCCTGATCTTGCTCCTCCAGCAATGCTTCCATGCGTTCTTTGATGAATCTCAGTCCCATGAGTGGTGGAGTCGAAGTGTTTTTCAACTTCTCTGGAAGTACCAAAGCATCATCCTCAACATTAAGCTGAAACAGATAAGTCATCAATCAAGGTAATTCAGCTGACATCTTACCGCCCAATACTGGTAGTGAGAGACGCAGGAAGCCATTATTTCATCCCACTGCCATGGTTGATCAGGGATTGTGGTGTTTCCCATCCACCATGGACATGTATATGCGAACACAATCCGGGACGGATGTCCTGCAATTGGCTCATCATGAAATGAAAGGAGGTGGAATGAAAAGACGTCGTCCGGAACAGTGTTCCAGGTCAGCATGGGATACAACTTAAGGATATAAGCGACAGGGACCGGAAGAACCGACACGATATTCTGTGAAGCGGAGTACTGCAGGAGTGGTGTGACAAATGTCTGCTCAAATTCTTAGCATTGACCAACAAAGTCATCAGGGCAGTGGTGACATACATTCATCTCCCATTGCAGCCCGGCTTTAAAATACTTGATCCGGTCAGCAGATAGACCATTGTTGGCAGCTTCCGTCCGATATTGAGAGATGATTGCACGGACGCGCGATCCAGCCATTGCCAATGTGCAGGAAATAGTTGCAAGGCTCAGCTTCAGAGGTCGGTAATGGCTTCCGGGATTCAGAGTGCCAGAAGTGGATGCATGAGATGCAGACATGGCTAATACAGGACTATGGCGCTGGCAATACAAGTGAAAGATGGTCAAGATGTGAAGATAAGAATCACTGATGGATGGATACGAAATTCAAACTCCGACATGGGCTGACCCGGACAATTCCCGGGCGTCAATTATGTATGTGGAAAAAGGGACTTCATGAGAAAACAATGTTCATTCATCTCCAGCCTCTATCAACACATTTTGTAGGTCTTGAAAAGCTGCCTGCGCATCCTGTGCCAGCAATGAATACATGTGGGATTGCCTTCCGGCGTAGCATCCGTGACCCAGAAGTCGTTTCTCCAATGATTCCTGCATGTGCTCGCCCCATATGGTTGTTTTCCACAAAAAGAACTTACATGTCCAATCCATCTCGAATGTGACCAATAGCATTTCTTCCCTCCATCGATCCCGTAGTGCCTTTGCCCTCAGCCAATGGACTCGGTAAACTTGGCATGGGTCCAGTCAGGTAACCGCGGGATATGACATGCAAGCGGGAACTCACATTCTTCATTCCACGATTGATCAGGACCCCCGAGGTCGACTTCAACAGACCAAAACCAAGCCAAAGATTCATTTTGTTGACCTCGGGCATTTGGGTCGCCCACTGCAGTGCTGATTTTGAGTTGCTCGCGAAGCAGGGGTTTGTATTTCTGAAGCTGGTCTTGCCCCGGCTCAAGTTTCATCATTTGCTTCCTTGTCTTTGTATATATGCTGGCATGGAGGGAGACTGCCTGCTGCACCGACGTTACCTGGGACCAAGCTCGAGTTTTCAGGGCCTGGGAATTGGCCTGCCTAACGGTTGTTCGGAACAGGATGGCCTTGTTGCAAAGGTAAATGCGGAGATTGTGAAGGGCATCATTGGCCTGCCCTTCACGAAGCGACATCTCCAGGGGAATCAGATCCTCTGCCATGCATCGTCTGCATCTGTCAACCCCCAGGTTTGATGGCAATGGGATTACAGTTAGCTCGGGAGAGTTTGTCCATGTGTGAGATGTCTCTGTGAAATCCGCCAGGTCATCATCGAGATCATCTAGAATGTCTACGTCCAAGTCTTCAGGTTCATCATCTGCATCAAATCCCTCCCCGAGATGTGTTAGAGCAGACCGAGCAAATCCATCTATCTGGCCTTGGAGCCGATCTCTTTGACGGGCGATGTCTAATCTCTGTGTCTCGGTGGATCTTCTTCCGATCCTTCGGACCTCAATGAGCAATGCAATCTGAGCCTCTTCAATTGCTAACCCTGTTGATATCCATGTCGCCACAGATCTGCGAGAGGGTGCTGCATTGCGGGCGTTACCCTCCTCTAACAATCTAAGCTCGATCTCCTTTTTGCTAGGTGCTGAGTGCAATATTAATTCAGTCCTCGACGGAGACAATGGAACTCAACGTACCCTTTTTGATATTGATCTCATATTCATCCATGGCTGAAGGATCATTCAATCTGCTTGACTAAGCTATCCTCTCCCTGGCTAACCATTCTGTCTTCAAATGTGAGGGTGCTGCTTCATCGAGTCTGTCGAATGCCTTTCCACTTTCTAAGATACCATTCCTAGCCAGTTTGTATTTCCGGCATAGAGTCCTTTTCATGCGAATCATCTTGCAGAAATTGGAGTCATTCATCTGATAATCAAGGCATTCCTTTCGGTGGGGAGATGACATTCCCCGAGCAGCAGGGGAGATCAAATTGAGCCGTGCCCATAGCGTCTCCATGATCTCTCCATCGATCCGACCAATGCCTTCAATAAAGTTAGAAGCATATCGGACATAGCAGCTGTCCTGATGGCCATGAACGTGCCACAACCCAATTCCGGGAATGATGGTTAGTTGTGGTGCCATTTCTAGAAATCGACTTCGATCCACCCGAACCCGAAAGTGTTTGTTGTATTGACAATTAATATCATAGAAGGTGACAGCCCTGGTGATGCCTTCCATGTTGTGCCGGGAAGCCTCGCAAAGGGCATAGTCCATGTTCATTTGTCTGCAAGTGACCCATGGTTAACTCGTGAATGGGGAATGGTGGATGTGGCTTGCCTTTCGCCTTTCTGAAAATCCACCATGGAGTGAGGGACAAAGCAACCGTGTCTGGCACAGGCAACTCCCCCGATACCGGTGGACTCCAGCTTGTGCCGAGCAGCATTAGCTTGATTTACTGCCCGGTGATTGTTGCAGCTTGATTTTTCCACTGTGTCAGCAGCCTCTGCCAGGTGCATTTTATACCTGTCATTTCCTACCATGAATCCAAGCCCATCGGACAGCCAAACTTCATCGAATGGCTTAATGGGATGCAGATGTTCGGCTTTGAAATTTCCGTCCATCACAAATGACCGGGTGTATTTCCAGCTTGGATCCCTAGTATTATTATGGAGGCCACATAGGTTGAGAATAGGACTCACTCATCAAGAGATTCATCCTCTGACAACAGCACATTAATCCAAGGCTGAGGACATGCCGGGCAAAATAATGCAAGTTCTCCTGTGCTCGGGTTATCAGAACGATGGCCGAAGCCATGCCATTTCATTGTCTTCAACTGCCTCCACTGTCGAGCGACCCTCATGAGCTCTCTGTATCGGTCCTTGCAATGTGCTTTGTCAATATGATGTCCAGTATATCATGAGGGTAAGGCATTACCGGAACAAGGTGTGGAAACATGCTGGAGGTCATTCGCCGGAGCTTGCTGTAATAGTTCATCGCCGAGGTGCCGCATTCAAGGCTGTCCAGTAGAAAATCATTGAGCACTCTGAAGGTGAACACAGTCTTTGGCCTGTTAAAAGATGCAGGGAAAAATCTGTGTCGAAACATTTGAATGTCCGGACTCATGGCATTCGGACATTCACAGCATCGAACCTCCAGGCGATGAACTCCGGACTTGTCCACGATGACCATGGTGTTTTCCTTTGGCTGGAACTCGGGTCCGGACACAAATGGCAGATCTTCAGGCTCGAGCAGGTCTTCGGGTTCATCTTCTTCAAACAAATCCCACCGATCGGTGACCGCCGGACATTGTTTGCCATCATGGCCAAGGTATATAATGAGTCCCACATGAGCTAGACAACTCCGCTCAAAGAATCGCCCATTCCATTGACTGATCCAGTGGAAAGGATTGCTACGATGTTGACTCCTGCAACAGCCCGTGCAATAAAGTGGCTCGCCAAGACAATCTTGACATTTGTACACCCCATCCTGTTGGCAGATGATGCATCTCCTGTCTTCGGGTGGAGCTTCTCGATCGAGGAGGTGATGTAGATATGATTCCTGCCTTGGCAGCCATTGCCTGAGGTAGTCATTTTGACTCTGTATTTTGAATGCTTAGCCATAGTTTGAATGACACTCCAACATTGTACATGAACTTGCCATGGTTTTTGGGAGTTGCAAAGGCTCAAATGAGCCTTGGTCCTGCTCATAAGTATTGTCAGGAAAGTCTTCCCAAGGAGGCGGTGCCTCAACAGGCTGAATTGTTGGTGATTCCGGGGGAGAGTTAGGCATGGACCTGTAGGCATGTCGCCTCGTGCTTGCAAGTGGGACCTTGACCCAAGTCTTCCTACCTTTGCTGCCCCTTGCTTCCACCCTGTGAGATTTTTGCACTGGGGTGCATCTACCTATCTTCATCTTGTTTATTAATGTTGCAAGCAAGGCATCAGCTCAGGTGTAATGAATTGTTATTGCAATATGATGCGGTGCAGTCCTGTTGGCTTATTACAAATTCATTTCCATTAATGGCTCAGGGTCCAATATGGGCCGATTAACCTATCATTAGGCTTTGCTCAAAGTTCAACTTCGCACAATTCATTAATACTTTCACCTTGAAAATCCTTAGCCATTTCTGCATTTTGATTCACTATGGCAAGAACAGGTCATTCCACCAACACGACTTCCGGAAGACACAGGATGCGTCAACCACAGTCTCAGAAGCTCACGGACAAGGAGATTTTGGAGTTGAAGAACTACCTTCCTGAGTGGACTGCTGCCAAAAGGAGTGAGAAGCGAGCGATTTTCACTGCCATAGCAAGGGCGGCCAGGTTGTTTGCTCCGAAGTTGGACCAAAAACAATGGAAAAAGAGGAAGCAGGTGAGGCTTCTTTGTTGTGTTGAAAAACTAAATTTTTAACGTCACATTCTTTCATCAACTCTTAGGTGTACAAGACTTGGTTGTTCAACAACAAGAAAAAGAAGGAAAGGAAGGACATGATCAAGTATGGGAGGAAATGGACTCCCAGGATGGTGGTCTACCAGCAAAAACGCGAAGAAGTGCTGAAGAGGATTGAGGACGAGTCCGGGGTAAAGCCAGGAGATCCTGGTATGTTCAAACATTATCAGGCGGCGGTGAAGAGAGTCATGGCTGAATTGGACGACAATGAGTTGGAGAAGGCTAAAGAAACAGCCGAAGAGTGGTCCAACAACTGTCCGCCTCCGGAGATACAAGCACAAGTGGCTCGTAAGAAGGGTCCGGCATATATGGAGCACTTTTCGAACGAGATGTGGAGGCAATGTGGGATGAGAGTGTTCGTGATGTCAGCTTGGAAGAATGAAAAGGGCGAGGTGCTGTTCGGGATGTGAGTACATTTATCCATAGATGGAGATTTTTCGTCTCAAAATATTCATGCAGGCATGATGATAATGAGGCCTTAGGAGATGGGGACAGCTTCATGAAGACGAAGGACTGGGAGGACATTGAGCCAGTGTGGCAGGAGTACGCGCAGGAACAGTTCGGTGAGTGTGTGAACCATGTATACCAGATTGAACATATTGAGCATCACAATGATAGGCGCCGGGGCACAGGATGGAGGACGTCAGGTCAATGGAGGTCGAAAATGAATTCGAAAACCAGCCTTCGAACTCGAAATGGACGGGGAGGGTATGCCACTCCTTCCGGACATCACCGACACCAAACTTGAGGAGAAGAAGGCCATAGTAAGGGCCTTTCTTACATCGCACTATCGTGAGTTTGTCGTCGCATCACCTGACAAATTGTTCAATGCATGGACAAAGGGATATGCTCCGGGAAGGACAAGGCGGTTGTGCCATGGAGTGCCATTGTACAAAGTCAGGATGACTTCGTGGCCCAGACGTATCTTCCGGCGGATGTTGACTTGAAGGAACCTTCGAAGCTGCAAATTTGGGACACCACTACCTTGCTCCAGTTTTGGCTCGCTCGGCAAGAAACAGGCGAAGGGCCCACATTTCTGTTCAAAGCATGGAAGAACAAAGATGGGGACATGGTACCATCTGTCATATCTGGCAACTCGCCCTCTCCTCAGACTCGTATAGTGAGAAGGCAACAGAGGGTTACCATCCGAAGGCCTCGGGAGTCATCGACAGAAGCCGAGAGTGATAAGGAGAGTGCCACTCATCATACGGAGCATAATGTGGATGATGACCTGGCTGACGGGAGACCTCCGCTGAAGAAGCCCAGGACGGGAGGTCCTACACCCAGAGGGCCGGCAGTCCCACGTCCAATTCCAAAGCCTCGCCCGGCCAAGCCGGCCAAAAAAGGTGCATTACTGACATCACAAATGGGAGACCTCCTCGCTGGGTTAACTGACAACGCGACGGGCGAGGTTAGAGATGATGTCGAAATGGAAGAGAGTATCACACCGCCGGCACAGAAAAGGAGGAGGGGCACTCGAGTCACTGTTGAACCATCCACGAGGACGACCCGGAGTAAGTTGCAAATGCCAGTAGACAGTACACCTAGAGTAACCAGAGCACGGGGACGCACTTAATGTACATATATCTTCCTGCCCTCATGTGTAATGTCATAAGTGCTATTATGTATATGTCAAAGTACTAACAAACAAATTATAATTGCCAAATGCCAAATCTCGAGTACCAAGGCCCGAGTACCGAACCCTGAATACCGAAGCCCGAACGCCGGTCACCGAGTACCAAGGCCCGAGTACCGAACACCGAGTACCGAGCCCCGAGGCCCGAGTTCCTAGGCCCAAGTTCCGAGGCCCGAATTCCGAGCCCCGAGTACCAAGCACCGACTACCGAGCCCCGACTGCCGAGCCCCCACTACCGAGCCCCGAGTACCGAGCCCCAAGTACCGAGCACAGAAAACCTGGCAGCGAGTACTGGGTAGGTAGAATATACAAGTACCAAGGACTACCTACTGAGTAGTACTGCAATGTGTCTACTATCAGACATTGATCAATATTTACATGTTACTTGAGTCCTCAAAGGCCTCAATGAGGGTATCCAATACCTTCAGCATTTCGGAGGTTGACTCCCTTACCCTTTGCATCCTCCGGAGGTCAGCATCTGCTTTGCGCAGCTTGTCGCATGTTTCAGCCCATGTGTTAAGGTCGTACTCTCGTAAGATCGGATCCGAAGGACTTCGGCCTCAGCTCGTACGCTGTGCCCCTTTCCCAAGTACTGTCCCTTATTTCAAAGTACTAACGATAACGCGTCCGAAGGTCCGGACGGGTCTCGTAGTATATCCGGAAGTCTTCCGGATATCGGAAACGCGTATAAGGCTAATCCGGACGTATCCGAACTAGAAACTAACAGAGTAAAGACTACCCGAAGGTAGAGCCGAGGATATAGACTATCGGAATCTATCCGAAGTC